TCACTCAGCATAATGTCCTCAAGGGTCACCCATTTTGAATAATATTGCATGAGTTCCTTGTTTTTCAATGCAGCATAGTATTCCATTATGTGAATATACCACAGCTTCTCTATCCATTCATTTGTTGATGGGTGAAATTGACTTTTTAACTATGAATGCAACACCATTCATCCTCTGGTTTTCATCCCCTGCATAGTATGTTGTTTTTGTTGATTGTCATTGAGTCGAGGTCGATTCATAGCGACACTAAGAACAAAACAACCTGTTTTACAACTGGGAGCTCCACCAAACACTGTCCACAAGGGGAAACCATTATGATATTTGATATCCCCATGGGACAAGGTTCAGCAGCATAGGAAACCCAGGTCATCTCAGACAGCACATTGACAAAGAGTGATGTGCAAAGTGGAAGACTGTTCCTCCCGATAAAAGAGCACTAGTCTCATTTAGCAGTGGTTAAGTGTTGTCAAGTCATATTTGACTCAGAGTAAGATTTACACAAAAGGCCTGAACTCTCTTCTAGAATTAACATCATTTCTGTACATTTATAAGAGAGGTTGTAGAGTTTCCAGAGGCATCTAGTTTAGGAAGTGGTTGCCACTCCTGCTTCCCAACATAAATCACTCTGGAAGCTCATCCAACCATTGTACATAATGGGTAACCATTATGATATTTGACACGACTATAGAATAGTGTTCAGCATCACAGCAACTCCAAGTTGTTCCGTACAGCAAATAGACAAAAAGATTGTTGTGTCTTTTAAAGAATATTTTTATAAAATTAATAAATTTGGATGCCAGCTAGCTGACTTCTGGAGTGGAGGGAGACTCCAAGGTCGCAGCCCCCAAGCCAGCCCACAGACCCATCACCTAATCATTGATTTAAAAGCCACGCCCTCGAGCAGGCCTCCACCCTTACCCTTAGTCTAAGGCTCAAGGGCCACGCACTTTTGAGAGGGAAAAGAAAAGTAACACACAACAAAAAGGACCTCAGAAACTTCCCTTGCCTGACTGCCATCAAGATGAGATCACCATCGAGACACCAGCCAGCAGACTTCCAGAGTGGAGGGAGACTCCCCTGCATAGTTTACCATATGATTATCTATGGTGTATGAATATCAATGCTAGTATGTTGATATTCATGTATTCTGTTTCATTTTTAACAATTTTCAGTCTTTCAACATTCAGGCTCCATGTTCCATTGTTACACGATGTTACTGATTTTCCTCATTTCAACTGACTTCCAATCTGGGTTCTACCACTGCACTTCTAGTTATAGTAGTTATAATCAGTGTCATGATGGATAGAGAAGAGATTGAAACTGTCAACAGCTTCATCTTCCTTGGATCAACAATTAACACCCTTGGTACCAGCAACCAAGAAATAAGGAGATGTATCGCTATGGGATAATCTGCAAGTAGCAACCTTTCCAAATTGTTGAGGAGTAGTGATGTCAGTTTGAGGACTAAGGTGCGTCTGATTCAGGCTGTAGTCTTTCAGTTACCAGCCATGCATCTGAGACCTGGACAGTTAATAAGGATGGCAAAAAAAGATGCTTTTGAGCTGTGGTATTGGAGAAGAGCTCTGGACATCCCATGGACAGCCAAGAGAACAAATAATATATCTTGGAGAGAATGCAGCCGGAGTGCTCTTTGTAGGCAAGAATGACGAGGCTTCACCTCACATACTTTGGACATATTGCCAGGAGGTGCTATTCCTTGAAGAGGGACATGATGTTAGGAAGGGTGGAGGGTTGGCGAAGGAGAGGAAGACCTTCAACCGGGTATATTGATACAGTGACTGCTGCAATGGACTCTTGTGTGCCAGGAAGTGTGAGGACGGCGCAGGAAAGAACAGGGTTCAGATCTTTTGTTCATGGAGGTCACTGTGAGTCATGGTTGACTGGATGGCACCTAACAACCACCACCACCTACCTCATCACCCTTCCCCCCTCCCTCCCTCCCTCCCTCAGGCTATTCCTAGTATCTGCCCATAGGCTTTGCCTACTATTGCCCCAGGTCTGAGGACTTGGCCGAATGTGAACTTCTCTTAGATTTGTCCTAGAATCCAAAAATTACTTTTCCCTGATCCACCTACTTTGCAGCCTAAAAAGAGACGTTTTAGCCACATCCTTTGTAGGTTACAAGAAGGGGTCAGCTCGCCAACCTGAATTGCTCAAAGCTCAAAGCCACAATGGGCCAGCACAGGCTGAATATTTCACCTGAGACCTCTTGTAAATGGGTGCTCTGGAAAATGGGGCAGCCTCATGACTTTGACCTGGTGGGATAAATGTGCCAGGTAGAGGTCCAAACCCA